TTAGAAGTACAATGAAATACCTTGCATAGTAGAATCCACTGCTGCTGGTAAAATTCGTGAGGAATTACGTTTAGTACATCCTTCAATAGCACTTAACAAGAGATCTTATTTTGTTATATCACTCTTCTTAGCTCTGAATGCGTGGCTTACTGCAAGTGACTTTTTTACTATGGCCTTGAGCTAATTTTTTCCTACTTTTGTTAGTGGATGTTTTTTGTGCTAAGAATTCATAGTCCAAAAAGTAGCTTCTGCTCAGGAGTTCAGCATTATAATTTACTGCGGATTTGACCTCAGGTGGACGTCTTGAGCAAGGTGAGGCATCCGAATCTAGTCACACTCATCGGAGCTTGTCCAGAGGCTTGGACCCTTGTCTACGAATATCTACCGAATGGAAGCCTTGAAGATCGACTCAGCTGCCATGACAACACGACACCGTTATCATGGCAAACTAGGATACGAATTGCCACTGAGCTCTGCTCGGTCCTCATCTTTCTTCATTCTAGCAAACCTCACAACATTGTGCATGGAGATGTAAAGCCGGCTAATATCCTTCTAGATGCCCACCTTGAGAGCAAACTCAGTGATTTTGGCATCTGCCGCCTGTTATTTCGTGATGAACATTCCAGTAACAGCAACACTCTTTTGTATAGGACTGATCCAAAGGGAACTTTTGCATATATGGACCCGGAGTTCCTCTCTACAGGAGAGCTCACTACCAAGTCCGATGTTTATTCTTTTGGGATTATACTGCTGCGGTTGTTGACAGGGCGACCTGCCTTGGGAATATCAAAGGACGTGCAGTATGCACTTAGTACGGGAAATTTGAAATCCCTCTTGGATCCTTTGGCTGGAGATTGGCCCTATGTGCAAGCTGAGCAGTTGGCCCATTTAGCTCTGAGGTGTTGTGAGATAACCAGAAGGAATAGGCCAGACCTTGAATCGGATGTGTGTAGAGTACTTGAACCGATGAGAGCTTCCTGTGGAGGCTCCTCCTCATTTAGGATGGGTTCTGAAGAACGGTGCCAACCTCCTCCTTATTTCATTTGTCCAATTCTGCAGGTAAGCTAGAGGGACATATTTAGATTCTCTTCGATGCCGCCATCTTCATACTTTGGACAGGTGTTATCATCCTCTTATTGCAAAAGACTTCCATCTTGTTTGGCCCAGTAGAACTTTCCACTGTAGATACTGGAGGATAGCCAAACCATTCTGTAACTGTTGATCTGCCACTATGGTTGGACCATCTCATTTGTGCGGGTCACAATTTGTAGGAAGACATCCCATTTGAATTTCTGGTTTACTATGGGATAATTCCAAGTACATCTCAATTGTTTGATCTTGCAGGAAGTCATGCAAGATCCACAAGTTGCGGCAGATGGATTCACTTATGAAGCAGAGGCCTTGCGAGGATGGCTTGAGAGTGGCCACGATACTTCACCGATGACAAACCTCCAGCTTGCACACAGAAATCTTGTCCCTAACCGCGCACTCCGCTCTGCAATCCAGGAGTGGTTGCAGAACCATTGAGAATTGATATCTGCTCGTGTATTCTTCTCTCATACTTTTTGGCAAAGGTTTATCAATTTCATCCTTTCCCCTTCTTTTTTCTTTTTTTTGGCTTTTCTAGTTTTGCTTGTATTAGAAGGATGTTTTACACACACCTTTACTGTGTCCCTGTAATGAATGCAGGACAGACATGCATCCGTGTGATCATTTTTACACTTGTACAGAAGACAGCACATGTACATTAGCTCTACGTGATACAAAACAGTTTTCCATCTGTCTCTCGGCCCGACGTCTTCTCATTCGTTCGGCTTGCAGATCTTACCGTATCAAAAACAAGTCCTTATGAAAATCGTTCGTGGTTCGAGAAGATTCGGGATTCATTTCATTCATCGAATGTCATGATCTCGCGTCTGTTTCAGCCCTCGGTCATTTCCTCTTAATTGCAAAGGTTATCATGCACGGTGAAGCGGTTGTATTCATTCCACTTCAAGCCACGCGCGACGAGCCCCGGTCGATGCAGTAGGCATGTCAGCTGAATTACATTTTACATGAGGTATGACGCTTCTCGTGTTCTTTTCCCTTGAACACTGCTGACTCGGAGGCTTAAATTCCCGTGGCTGAAGAGATATGTCCGGATTCGGTCGGACAGCTAACACAAATACGACCGCCAACAGCGTATAAATGTTGGTGAGACTTGAAAGTGGTAGGCGTTTCGCCCCCCACCTAACAAGTGTCCCAACGTCCATTTCCTTAGCTATTTCCAAGCTCTTTCATTAAATGAGTGAATGGAAAGGGCCTACTAATCGTGCACCATGATGCCAAAAACTCGGAATTAAAACCCTACTTTGGTCTTTAACCGTATCCTACTAGATAATCTTTCGACCCGGAGGGTCCGGTTTATTTCGGGGAAAAATGCTATCCGCTTATTCGATGCCCGCAATAAATTGCGCACATGTAGATGGCTAATCAAGTTGAATACGTTAACCGGTGAAATCGATTCACCAACGGAAGAAAAGACCCTTCTACCGTCTTATTTGCGCAATTCGCACCCACGCCCAAATCTCTAGACATTACCTTATATAGAGCCTATCGCGACATCATTTGGAGAAGAAATAACATCCTTAACAATCATTCACCATTCTAATCGGGGAAAATCGTCTAAAAAGTCTTAAACTCATTGTACTTTTTCCAATTCGGTCCTATACATTCAATCGAGTTATAAAAATTTTCACGTTTTGCCAATTGAATCCACCCGGCCAATTCTAGCTGGAAATCGTTAATGTGGACTCTGGCTGTGACCGTCCTATATGGCACGGCTAGCGCTAACGAAAATAATTTTTAATAATAATTTAATTTACTTTCGTATTTTTAATTAATTTGTTCTTCTTTTTTCTTTCTTTCTCTTTCTTTTTCGTTTCTTCTTTTTCTTCTTCCAAGCCCGACAAGGGTCGCCGGCCACTGGGGCAAGGGTCACGAGGCACTCACGGGCCGCAGGCAAGGGCTTGACATGCGACGATCGAGGCCCTCACCCGGACCTCGCCTGAGGGCCGCCCTTTTCCCTTTGGCCACTAGATAAGGTTAGATCATTGTAGCTGACCAATCTTTCGGAATTCTAACGTGTTCATCACGTTCTAGGGAACGGCAAGAAACACGCACCCTCCTCCTTCCTTTACGTCAAAATGTAGGAGGACAGGCACATGGGGAATTCAAACCAGACCTCATCGTCCCTTAGGCCTTCCTTCCTTAACTCTCGCAAGATACGATGAAGTCTCCCCACCTCACCCCCGCTCGCTTCCTTTTGATTCTTCCCTATGGTCCGTCCAACAGCTTTTGCCATCTCCCAACTACTTCCAACCAACTCCTCTTAAAAGCCGCTCCCAGAAAATAGATAGGAAAAAACGACACCCACGACAGATCGTGATGATCCCCAACAACAATTAACTTCCAAAAGGGGCCAATTGACTTAAAAGTCATTAGTGAGATTAGGTTCACCATTACTGCACCCCGCACGCCTCCGCAACTGCAAATGTCATAAATTTTTCGTTTCAATTAGTTGGGTTTTCATTTTTATAGATAATTAACCTTATTTTCCTCTTATTTTTTATTTTTTTTTGAAAAAAATGATATAAATGATCCCTGAACTATGACAAAATGTGTAATACGGCTCACGAGCTTTTAATTTGTTCCGTATGGTCCCTGAATTTTAGCCCAATGTGGAATATGATCCATAAATTTTTAATTTGTTCAATATAGTCATCGAATTTTTTTATACATGTTCAATTTAGTCTCTGGACTATATGAAAATACTAAATTTTGTCTCTGAACTCGAATTAATTGAAGGATAATATTTAATATTTTTATGTAGTTTGAGGACTATATTGAATATTTACAAAAAGTTCAGGAAACGCATTAAATAAATTAAAAGTTCATGGATCACATTTGGCCGAAGTTCAAGAATTGTTTTTGTAATTATTCCTTTTTTTTTTTTGTGAGGAACCCTAATATATTTGTTGGCTCCTGTTTGGACGTGGGGTACTGGTTGCATTCAATGGCTAGGCTCATTTATAACCATGTGGGGGTAGAGAGAGGAGCCCATGTGAAAGCCTTTGTTGTATCTGTCGTTTGTACTGACTCTAGCGTCCAATCTGAAGTTGATAATTCAGGCAAATGTGTCGTTACGATGGGGGGAAGTGGCAAAAGTACATTTTTTTTTTCTCTTTTTTCTTTCCTTTTTAAATCATTCGCTAGAACGAAAAATTACACCGAATAGAAGACGCTGAAAGTACAACCGGATCGATAAAGTCGAATCAAATTCATTCGAGCCTGAAGTAGTTAGCCTTGATAAATCAAACCCGGGTTCTTCTTCTTCTTCCTCCTTTCGCTTCAAAAACCTAATTCGCCTTAGATGATATTCCTTATCCAAAATGGCCAGAAAGATTACAAGAATTTCATGCTTGCCATATCCCGCTTTTGCTATAGAGTTCGCAATGCAGAGCATGCGCTCTAACCAAGTTCTTCAATTAACTTAAACTTCGCTTGTTTCGAAAAAAAAAATGAATGATTGGAAAATTATTTTCCTAAAAATGTTTGCTTTTATCTCTTTAAAAAATAAATGAACAAAAAATATTTTCATCATTCATAAAAATATTTAAACATAAATTGTTGTTAATAGTGAATTTTTTTTTATAAAATCACTTATATTTCGCGAAACAAACGGAGCCACGATTTGACAAAACTTTTTTTGTTTAAGCACAGTTTTCATTTTATGCTTTGAGATTTTTAAAGAACGGTGACGTGGAAAGTTAGAAAAATAAAAATTAGAAAACTTGAAATTACAAGCGGCGGAATTTCATACCATCAAACCGTGAAAAAGACGAAAAAAGAAGATAAAATAAAAAAAGAGAAAGAAAGTGGGGGTGAAGCCGAAGCCCAAATCGGTCATTTAATACCGCCCAACCTCCACATTTAAAAACCGACGTTCCCTCTCCTCCATTGCACGAAAGCTCCGCTCGCTCCCTCCGCTCATCCCTCTGCAACATCTCCCGGAGGAAGGCTCTCGAAGAGATGTCGCGGACGAAGGAGAAGCAGGGCAAGTTCCCGCCGATCGGCGAGTGCCGGGGCTCGGGGTACGGGTCCGTCGCCGCCGACCTCGACGGCACCCTCCTCGCCTCCTCCAGCGCCTTCCCTTACTACATGCTGGTGGCGATCGAGGCCGGCAGCCTCCTCCGGGGCCTCGCCCTCCTCCTCTCCCTCCCCCTCGTCATCCTCACCTACTTCTTCGTCTCCGAGGCCCTCGGCATCCAGATCCTCATCTTCATCTCCTTCTCCGGCCTCAAGGTCCGCGACATCGAGCTCGCCTCTCGCGCCGTGCTCCCCAGGTATATATTCCGAAACGAAGAGGCCGCCGCCTCTTTTTGATTGATCCGGCTTTTGGTTTGATTGAACGATGATCGGTTTTGGTGCGGTGCTTTGGCGCTTCGTTGATCTGGAACGAGATTAGGGAGTTGGACTATGAAGGACTTGTGTGTTCAAGCGTCGTCAATTTGTATGCCGCTTTTGTGAAATTGGAAACCCCCGGGCTGCTTTCTGAACGACTTTGTGCAACCGTTACCGAGTTTTATGCTGCTGATGTGTGTGATCGGACGGCCGAAACAGCTTCGTTTGAATCTCAATCTTCTCTGCAGTGTGATGTTACCGTAATCGTATCATATAATATTGATGCTGTTATGGGAGAGGCTGCGAGAGGCTGCAAGTCCATGACAATATTAGTATATTTCTTATGTCATGTGGAAGTTAATGCACTAAACTTGATCGACTCGTGTGGAATGTTATCAGGTTTTATGCCGCTGATGTGCGGTCGGACAGCTACGGAGTGTTCGACAAGTGCAAGAGGAAGGTGGTGGTGACCGCCAACCCGACGGTCATGGTCGAGACGTTCGTGAGGGATTATCTGGGTGGAGACAAGGTTTTAGGTACCGAGATCGAGGTGGACCCGAGGACGAAGAAGGCTACCGGATTCGTGAAGAAACCGGGAGTGCTGGTGGGGGATCTGAAGAGGCTGGCCATTTTGAAGGAGTTCGGAGACGAGGCTCCGGATGTCGGGATCGGAGACCGCGAGACCGACCACGATTTCATGGGGCTTTGCAAGGTCAGTATTTCTCCTATCCCTTAATTCATCGTCCTGATTAATGAATGAATGAATTAGCTCCACTGCCAGGCAGTTATATACGAGGAGATTGATGCATGTTGATTTGCTATTAATTAAACTGTTCCTAACAATGTTCAAGCGGAAAAGGATGTTCTTGCGGATTCACAAGTTGCTCTTAGTTGAAATCAACGACGTCTAACTTCTATTGAAACCCCGATAAGGTCTGCATCAGACATGGTTAGCTAGATAGCTAAAGGTATGGGTGCAACTGGGAAAAATTATGTTTGTTTGTTTAGGGGTTAGTCAACTTTAAGATTGTGCACCACATCTGCAGAATTCAATTATTATGGGGGTGGCAAATTGGTTTTGGGGTCCACGGGCTGGTGATAAAACTCTCGAATCCCTTATCTTGGTGGCGACATTAACGTGCGAGACAATGGGATTGAGCACGATGGGCCTTTAACTTATTGAAGGAGGTGAACTAAACGAGCGAAGAATTTATACTCTGCCAGCAACATCCCACCAACACCATTAAAAATATACATAGTTTATGGACACTGTCGCTGGTGCCGTTGAGCCAAAAAGTAAAGTAAAGACCAGAAAGATGTGGGAGATTTGGGCCTTCGAAGTCAAAGCTACAGAGGGAATTGGCGGAGCCATGGAAATATAAATTTCTGTTCATCCCTCCGCAGAACGATGAGCTTTGATCTCGAAGGACCCACCGTCTTGAACCATCCTCAACGGCCAACCAACTAAACTTTCGGTGGTCCAAGTTTACTAATATTTAATGCGTGCACAGGGTGCAGCTGTTCTTGGTTTTGGCTTATTGACTAATATAAATTCGTATATATCTCTCTTGCAATATCATCAAGGAGGACTTTACTAGAAATGAATAGTTAGGTAAGGAAATATTGCAATCTTAGTGCACTGACTGCGATTGGTATTTTGAAAATTCGATGTTTCAAATGCTCCGGGGTGCGTTTGTTTCATTGTAAACGTAACGTTTTTAGAAAATATTTTCCAGAAAATAGTTAGTTTTCCTTTATTTGGTGATATGTGATCGAAAATATTTTCCAGTGTTTAGATCTCATTTAGAAAATGATTTCAATCCTATAATTTTATCTCGGGCGAAAAAAAATCTGATTTTTTAATATTTTATTTTTAAAAATAAAAAAATAAAAAAGAAAAAATATTAAAATATTAAAAAAGGTCAAAAGAAGCAATGCTGAAAAGTGTTTTACATAAATATGGGCCACATAAACAATTGAGAAAGTGAGTACAGTGTACCATAAAGATGCAACAGACTCTGAGCTGTCGTATTTTATGGTAGAAGAAAGTCGCGACTTTACTGGGGTGGAGAAACGTATATATGATATGATCTGTTGAAAGATGATCACGGCATGTATAGTATTTTGGTACACGGAGAAGGGAGCCTGTATGGAGTTGACATGTGGCCCTCTGCAACTATTGACACCTGACCCACTTTGCTTTTGTCATTTCTCTCCTCGTTCTTTTGATTTCTAGACCATTTCTTTTTTTGTTTTTACTTGCTTCCTCTTCAAAAATCGCAAAATTCTATCTAGCAGAATGATATTTTAAAGGTTTGTCGTCGCACAATCTAAAAGATTGCGAAACCAGTAGTACTTAGAACGTTTGGGCAAAATATTGTAGAAAAGAAGGAACAATATGAGAATCCCATAATTAAATTTATCATTTTTTGTTCTTTATCATAAGTTAATAAGAAGCATAATTTCTTAGAGCTTAGAATTATGCTTATAAAATCCAATATATCACTATGTGGAGTGCTTATTCATTGCGGTCATCTGAATCAGTAGGCGCAATTAGTTTCTGGGTCCCCATGAAACTAGACGGTGATATTTTCTGAATCCTTCAATAATTTCGAGTTGATTGATTTGATTTGTTCACTCCGATCCGGGGCAAGTTAAGGGCAGTGGTGGGGTCACTGGATTGCCTCTATTTTCCTTCCCAAGTTGAAACTAGCACGGTCGGGTCATTAATTTGGAAGCTACTTTTTGCATGTTTAGGTACAGTCTTCATTAATAAGACAGGCTAGGCTTCCCAATCAACTGCCCAAAGATGAACACTTCACCATTCAATTTGCTAGAAACGAGGCTACGCTCATGCTGAGCATTGATTGCGCTGAATCCTAGAGTGCAAAAGGGAAAATAGAGCAAATCCAATTGCTGTCCGAACGAAAGCTTAACTTATGATTCACCGCCAAAATAGATGAGCACAAGAATTGCACTGCATGCATACAGCACAGTGGTGAATGTTCAAGTGTAATAACTCGTATTCAATGCAATCCCAACATCAGGAAGGTTACATGGTGCACCGCAGCAAATCGGCAGCGCTCGTCCCACCTGAACGCCTGAAGAGCCGGATCATCTTCCACGACGGCCGCCTCGTCCAGCGCCCCGACCCGCTCAACGCCATCATCACCTACCTCTGGCTCCCCTTGGGATTCATCCTCTCCATCATCCGCGTCTACTTCAACCTCCCCCTCCCCGAGCGCATCGTCCGCTACACCTACGAGATGCTCGGCATCAAGCTCGTGATTCGCGGCAAGCTCCCTCCCCGGCCCTCCCCCGGGACCCCCGGGAACCTCTACGTCTGCAACCACCGCACCGCCCTCGACCCCATCATCATCTCCATCGCGCTCGGGCGCAAGGTCTCGTGCGTCACCTACAGCGTCAGCAAGCTCTCCCGCTTCCTGTCCCCGATCCCCGCCGTCGCCCTGACCCGCGACCGCGCCGCCGACGCGGCCATGATCTCCACCCTCCTCCAGAAGGGCGACCTCGTGGTCTGCCCCGAGGGCACCACGTGCCGCGAGCCCTTCCTGCTCCGGTTCAGCGCGCTGTTCGCGGAGCTGAGCGACCGGATCGTCCCCGTCGCGGTCAACTGCAAGCAGAACATGTTCAACGGGACCACCGTGCGCGGGGTGAAGTTCTGGGACGCCTACTTCTTCTTCATGAACCCGAGGCCGATGTACGAAGCCACGTTCCTCGACCGGCTGCCGGAGGAGATGACGTGTAAGGCGGGCGGGAAGTCGGCGATCGAGGTGGCGAATTACGTGCAGAAGGTGCTGGGCGACGTGCTGGGGTTCGAGTGCACCGGGTTGACGAGGAAGGACAAGTACATGCTGTTGGGCGGGAACGATGGGAAGGTCGAGTCCATCTCTAATGCCAAGAAAGTGTGATTCCAACCATTCCTAGACGATCGTGGGAGTAGAATTATATTCAGAGAGAGGTGTAATTTCCAAGAAGAAGAAGAATGCATGCGTTAGATCAATATGTGGACCGTCAAAACGAAGACTCTTAAGTTATTGTGGGGGTTGACTCAGTCTCGACTGTGGTAGGGGTCGGTATTTCGATTGATTAAGTTGGGTTATTTTCCGCAGTAACAATGATTCGGTTTGTTGTACCCATATGTACTTTAAATTTTAAAAGTAGCGGATACAAAATAATTTCTGGAAAAAATAGAATTCATCCGGGGGGCTCACCTAGCTATGTATAAGAATACAACTTTCTCTCAAAAAACGTATATTGAAGTTCAAGAAATATTGGATTCCAATTTGTTGCTATGGAAAAGCAAGAGAAACAAGCAATGGGAAAAGAAAACTTCAATGATTTGAATAACAACTTTCTAATCCACGATTTAGCAACATCTTCACCGAACACTAGGGCTGTGCATGGCTAAAGTTCTGGGCTTTTCCCGACGTCACGTTACTAAGGCAACTCGCACATACATATGGGACATCCCGTGCTGTTCTCGAGCCACTCGACGATGCAATCTCCGTGGTAAACGTGGGAGCAATGCATGCGAGCTCCTTTCGAACCGGCGCCGATCTCCCTTGTGCAAATTGCGCAATCCATTGGCTTCCCCGCGATCACCACCTTCTCCAGTCCCTCCACCATCGCCCACCACTCCTCGTCATTGTTCGGATCCACGCACGAGATAAAGACGCCCATCGGCAGGACCTTCAAGTCCCCGTTGCTCGCCATGGCTATCGCGTGGCTCAATATCTTTTCCACCATGAACTCGTGATCTCCTTCGGAAGGTACTCCCATCTCACCGAGTACGCCCCGCACGACGTGCTTCGCCATAGGATCATGCAGCAAAGCATCCGCATCTATAAGGAACACCCTCTTCTCCTGCCTGGAAGTTTGGGCGATGGCCCGAGCGGCGAACCGAGACGCGGCATCGGGGAGCAGGTACACAAACTCGACTTCAACTTCCAAGTGGTAGAAGCGAAATCCCCCCCGCACGACTCTGGGTTGATCAAAGTCTGGTATTTGAAACGTTTCGCAAATGGGTTCTGGCAACTCATTACCTTCCATGGCTTCTTTTGGGGATCAAAAGGCGAATGCCAGAGAGATGAGCCGGTAGTTTCTGCTGGTATCTGATGCGAGTTCTTGTATCTAGTTTTTCTTGAAACTGAGTATGGGCTTTGCTTATATAGTGCGGTGAGTTCGTAGATGTTAGATAGGTGTAGTTAAATTAGGAAGTCGAATCCTGCTGCGACTTGGAGTTCTGGTTTCGTTAGGATATTATAGGAAAGTTTTTAGTAGTAATTAGGACCGATGCAAAGAGCTTTAATTGAAACGTGTGATTTGAAACGTGTGAGAAAAGGAAAGTTTCCAGCTACCATACGAGATCGAAAAAGGAAATATACGAAGAGAGAGATGCAGAAGTTGTGCATATCCGGTGACAATCACACGTCAACACGATAAAAAGAAAAAACATATCAAATAGGGATAAGTGTACCGAAATCCTAAAACTTATTACGAAAATGTAATTAAATACTTATTCCCATTTTGCCCTTCGTGACAAGTTTTATGTGTATTTTTTAAAAATTTTTACTTTTTAATGTAATGTAATTTAATTAAGATTTGAATTAAAAAAATTAAAATTTGGACCAAAACGAAATGCTTTAATTAAGTAAATGACGAAATGTAAGAGTTTGAATATAATTTAAAAAAATCATATCAGTATTATCAATTAACCATATTAGACGGAGCTAACCGAATGACTTAATTGCACTAATTTAACAAATTTTAAAACTCGATTGTACTTCTTAAAAGTTTTAACGCCCGTTATTCTTTTGTCATAGATTTTAATATGTTTAGTGCACTTACTCCAAAAGAATAAGTACTCCGACCCTAAAAACAAAAGAAGAGTTGAGTACAAACGTACAATCGTAAGCCAGTTTGAGGCAGTCAAATACTAAATCCCACCACCCAAAACTGGTCTCTTCTCTTTAGATTCTACCAACGTTAATTGGCCCGAAGAACAGGTAAAAAGAAAGGAAAAACAGCGAATACTGGAAACATGTTCTCCTGATTATTCATACGGCTTCAGATGTTTCAGCACAATGACTAATCATACGGTTTTCATATAGCCACATGACTTGGCTAAACTACCCGGAGAAGAATTAGTTCAGCAAATATTGGTTCTTGAATCATAAACATGAAAACGCCCTTCCCACCGCCTCTATCTCGAGGTGGGTTTATAGAGCGTAAGACATTAATTAGCCTTCAACGGGCAGCAAAATGAAAACAGGAGCACCACAAGTCTTAAATTACCAAACTTTTATAACACAGTGAGATTGCTTCATCACAGATGTACTTACACAGTAGTAACACTTGAACAACACCGGACAGATTCTACAGTCAAACTCCCTCCCTCTCTCGCCTATCCAGGGGAGCTGGAGCTGCCCTTGACAAAGAAGTACCGCGTCCGTCGTCACAGGCTAACAACTTTAATCTGAGATATAGGGCCAAACATCCTACTCTTTTTCTGCCAAAAGTGATCAGAGATAACTATGGTGAGCAACAAAATGCGGCGACTTTACAATAAAATGATGCGAAAGCACCGAAACATACCGTCATAATCATTCCGAATCATCAACACCGTCACTAGAGAGCAGAAAGTAACAATAATCAGAGTGTTAACAGAAAGGCTTGAGCTTCATTTGTATTCTAAGAACCAAAACAATCAAAGCAGTAGTTAAAGCAACCGCCACATTGATATCTTGAAAGAACTTCACTAGTGCTCTTTGGATAGAAAAATTACAGTAGAAAATATTAAACCTTTGTCCGGTTACTTTTCCTACTTTGCATTAACCTAATCCAGCGATACGATGAAGATGCGAGTCTCTTTCCAACAAGAATGATTTACAGTTTCCTATATAAGTTTCTCCTTGTGCACCCACACCAATGCACAAACGCACACACGCACACATAGTTTGTGTATTCAAGTGAGTGTCTAATCGTATGCAATGGCAAAATGAAATACCTCATTGCTGATGTTTACGTGCCATTTAAGTTGCAAAGCTTGCCATCTCTCATGCCGCCACCTGTGACCCATAATTACAAAACCCATCACAGCTGCAGCAATGAAGACGGACCAGAAGGCATTTGCCTCTTTGGCTTGGGCATACAAAGAAGCAGCTCTTCTCTTCCACCAAGCACCGCAAGGAAGGCTAGACCCGTGTGAATTATCATCTTTAATTGCTTTCGGTGAGTGTAATGCATCTGATGAGGAATCTGGGTGGTCTTCAGAAGTTCCAACCACGTCAGAAGTGATTGTATCCTTCCCAAGAGCGGTCGGAAGACCAAAAGCTGGATCTCCATGCAAAGAACTGAAGGTGGCATCGTATAAGCTCTGCTCTTTGTCAGTCAAACCAAAATCTTGTACACTTTTGCCTTCTTCAAATTCTGTATTATGAACTGGAAGTATGTTATCCTTCTCCGAAATGAATTGCATTCCTGGAAATTCATCTGACAGAGTCTTCTCCTTGAAAGCCCACTCAGTTTCATCCTTGACCCTGTATCGACTTACTTCTGCATCAAGTTGAGCAAAACCATCTTCGCCTTTCTGTTTTTCAGCGATATTAAGACTTGAAAGTTCTGGGGAAGAATTGTTATCTCGATTGGGTAGAAAGACGAAGTGACGAGACATGAACAAACCATTAGAGGTTTCTGGTTCATCCTCACCAGGGACAGTACTCTTGTCATCATCAGTCAGCTCAATTTCTTTTGGACCCGGAGAAGCTGCATATGTTGAAGCAGTAAGTGATACGACTTCCCAATCATTTCCGCTCTCCTTACAGTCCGCCATAGTAATGCAACCTTGTACACCATTAAGCAAGTACAAAGGTCAATAAAGAACTAAGAAGAATGAGTGATTTGGAGTCCTTCCGTACGACTGCAAAAATGGATACCAATCTATTACCAGAGAACTTTAACAATGAACTCGTACAGGTAAACACCGGTCCTACTTCTACAGCCAAACTCTGCGTCAGATGTCAAGATTCAAAGTTCTGCAGATATTTCACCTATCTTCTTACAAGACGTCAGGCTCGCTAAAACCTCTGGACCTAACATTCAGAATCACACAAATAAGAAACCGCAGGCGAAGGAGAAAAGCTACTGTGCATGGTATGCGGAAGCACAGGTGGATGACCATGCCATCATCAATGATGTCGGGTTGATCCATTAACTCGATATAATCCATGTTCAATATTAAAAAATTACCGCAAGAGAAATCTAGTAATGCAAAGATAGATGAAATCAACTGAAAGCAGAACCCACGATGAACCAGCATATTATTCCAAAGAAACAATTGTCTAAGTTCCAATATCCGAAAACAGGTCGACTAATCCCATTTAGCACAAAGAGCGCTTCCAACAACGGCAAAGTAAAGATTCCTCCTAAGCCCAAAAAGTAATTTTTCAGGCAAATTAGAAAAACAAATTTCAATCATTGGTACCTCAACTACACAAACTGCAGAAACGAAGCGGAATCAAATCAAATCACGCGATGATTGCCTTGTTACTCATCTCATCCCGAAACATCAGTACTCCCTTCCTCACAAGCAACTTTTTCCTTTTCACACGAGCGTTTGAGACCTTATCCACGAGGCAAGAGACACAATTCTCTCAAAAAGAACCATCACGAAGCAAGTCCAGATTATTCCAATCGTAAGATCAAAGCAAAAGAAAGTAAAACCCCTTTTCATGTCATGTCATAGGCAATCAGAAGGACCATCAAAACAACAGTACGAGAGTCAGACCAAGCAAAATCAACGTGCACTCAAAGCTACAAGAAAGAACAAAAAAAACCATAAACACCCCAAAAATGACTCGCTCATATCAAGACCAAGCCACAAAAGAAAAAAAAAAGATCTTGTGAGACAAGACGACGAGGATCTTACAGGAGACTGATCGGACAAGAATCTGCTGCGGGAGAAGCGTCGGAGAGATGGGGAGAAACCCTCTTTTTTTCCTTATCGAACTTCCCAAATTTTGCTTTGGATGAGTTGATGATGATGAGGAATAAACCGGAACAAGAAGAAGAGAGGCAGTAGGGGGGAGGAGATTTTATACTCGGTTTTTTTAAGGAGAAGGAGACGTGGGAGTTGGGAACCGGGAGGTCCGGTGGAAGCAGCGAGGCGGCGTGGATGTGACCGGGCACGGCAGGTCAACGCGGACACCAATAGAATAGATAAGACCGGTGAGTTTTTGTACGAGCAGCTAGCTAATGATGCTTCGCGTGCTCGGGGAGGAAAGAATGTCCTGCACTCCAAAACCTCCGGCGAAAATAAACAAACCCATAAAGCTCAGAAGAAACTTGGCTTGGAAACCCTTTTGACTCGGACACCAATGGCACGGCAGGATTTGCGGGATCCTAGTTGTCGCGTGGCCGGGGTCGCGCGTCTCAAGCTAGGATTCGGCGCTGGCCACAGGTTCGAGGAGTCACTGGCGGCGCCTCGCCTCATCTTTGAATCGAAAAATTCGAAAATGTTTGAATCTTTGATGTCTTTTATCTCTAAAGAATAATGTTGTTTTCACGACAGAGGGTGCGCGCTTTATCTTTTATCACTTATCAGCTTTTTTGTTAAATTCGTAATAATGAACACTTCTCTGGGGAAATGAATAAGATGACTCGCAACCTTATATTGGGATGATAAAGAGAGTTCAAGAGAGAGTGTTCGTGATGTAATCCAGAGATTCAATATCAAAGAATTTCACATCTTCGTGATTATTCATGACAAGAGGGATAAAGACACGTACCTTGATATGAGAAATGAAGAATTCCCATTTCTCTCCCTTGACTCACTTTTTCTTGATACAACTTTCGTTGTTTTTGTGAATGGAGAGAGGATCAGACTCTTTATATAGGCTTATCAATAGATATCCTCAGTAAATGTCTTCCAACAAAGCACATTGAATGTTCTAATTTCATAAATCTTCATAAAAGCTGTAATTTTTCATACTCTATCTTCATAAAAATTGCAACTTATCATAGCCAATGCGTTTCTTTGACAGTTAAATAATTATCAAACCATTAATAATATCATGTGGGCCACAATTATTTTTACATAAGGGCCATTAGAAATCGAAAAGGTTATTGCATCTAATCTGCTTTTCTTCTTGTGAAATTTCTTGACTACCACATGCAACTTTACCTCAGCAGACTGGCATCATGTCTGATCTAAAACTCATTCGAATATGGGGGTTTCATCCTGCAGATAGAATTGTAGTTTCGTAGCTGATACTGCTGGGCATGATTCAGTAGTTACACGTGAAGTTTCCTGCTTCAGCTGGAAACATTTCTTTGAAAACTGGAAATTCTCTGCAACACCAGCAAACCGATTGAGAGTAGAATGATGCTAGAAAGCCGTAACAGATAAAAGGAACATTAAGAATCGATTATTGGCGAGGTAATATGGACAAATAATTTGTGCAAAGAATCGAAGGGACTACAAAGGATGCATCAATCAACAAGAATAAATTGCCCATACAGCAAGTTAAAAGCTGGGTTTATCTTTCTTTCTATTCGCTTTTTTTCCTTTTCTGGTCCTTGACAAGCACAGAGCATTTTACTGTTCATCTGTTAGAAGCATCATTGAGGTGATTTCTACCATCTACAATTCTTCCTTCGACCGCCCTTCATTTTCTCCAGGGATTCTACTGGGTTTCTTCTCTTTGTGGAGCATCTCTAAAACTTCTTCCAGAGGTGGATCTCCGGGTCGCCGGAATGCTTGATCTCCAATCTTTATCTCATATGCTTCTGGTTGGTCCAGCAAAAACTCCTTCAACTGCAACGAGAGTGGAAATATAATTAACCACTGTGACACGAAAAGGCAAGGAGTAATCATGCAGTCCACCAATGTTCACAAATTGAGCGAGTATAGAGCAGAGCAGGGAATGCACAATAAAGAGACGATTGGGGGGGCGGGGCGGGGGAGTGTTTTTTTTTTTCCCTGAAAATATGTTCCATGACTTGAGGCTTGACATAATGTTTTACCTAACATAACTCAAGATGCATCATGCCAAGAGTGTGAGCTATCTACTTAAGATCACTTTAGAAACAAATTAAATCGAGACCAAATTGCCACCTCTCAGTTATCAAATTAATGGCTAGCCTCTGTGGTGTGGTGAAACCCGATTTGTCAAGTGAAAAAGAAAGAGGTACCTCTAGTGTGTCTTGGCCTTTGACCATGGTGAACATGATTGTGTTAAGATCAATGCCCATGAACTTCACCTCAACAGCTCCTGTCTTTAAAACTTTGGTCCACTTCATAGCGATCTCAGACACCATATCCTGGAAAGAGATGGAAAAGGACTTTTAAAATTCACTAAGATTCTGACTAGTTTTCTATTCGCGAGGATATTTCAAAATATTTCTAGCACCGAAAGTGAGGATATTTCAGAAGCACAATGATATTTCAAGTACCGCAAGTGTAACGAAGTAGCAAATCAGCTGAATTATTCACAAGTAAATACATTGTCAATCGCTTGCCATACAAATCAACTTTGTTTGACTAAAGCTGCAAATTACTTCTTCAACAGGGCATCTGGAGTGCTCTAGCTGTAAGGAAAAGGAGAAAGCAGTTTGTTTTGCAGAAAATGAACAATTTGGAAAACATTTTCCTAAAATGAGCAACAAAAATGTTTTCGTTATTGACAACAACTTATATCTAAAAATTTTCGAAGACAATGAAAACATTTTTCCTTCATTTATTTTTGTAGGTGATACAAGCTATCGATTATAGGAAAATATTCTTCAAAATGTCGATTTTCCACGAAAAAAACGGACCCTAAAGCATAATAACCCCCATATTCAATGTCCTCTTAGGATAAATAATACCCAGATCAGTAATAAACAGCCCATATTCTGGAACTAGAGATCGATCTTCAATGTCGGGGACGGCCAAATGTTACCTGGATCACAAAGTCTAGTCCTAGTTCAGCTGAAGAAATGAATCTTCCACTGACGTTGATGTCTAGCCTCCTCTTGTTAAGCTGAGGAAATCATTCTGCCATGAAGTTATCTTTCTGGGTTGAATAGAGCTTAACCAAAAAGTTATTTCCGAATTCGGATACGATGAATGATTTCCCAACTGAGTTAACGTATTAAAGCTATTCCAAATGTTGCCATCAATGTCACCCAATTGATCTGGAACCTCAGCTAAACCTCACCTCAAAACGTCAAGAAGCTAACTACGTGCGAAGCAACTCAAGCCACATATAGTAATCATATTTACAAGCTCAAAACCATCCTAAAAGAAACAGGAAAACCGATACCGTACAACAAAATCACAGCAAGAGAATCAGGAATTGGAAATCGCATCTGCAGTTACCCGGGTCCGAGGAACGCCCAGTCGGAGCTTCACGAACCCGAAGGCGGGCCCGGAGTGACGCCTCATCATCTCCTCCTGAAACCGGCCCAAATCCACGCTCGACAGATCCGGAGGAGGGTCGAACTCATCGTCGGGAGGCGGAGGCGGCGTCGACTTCCGTCCCCATTGCCGCCAGGACTCGTCCTCCTCGTCGTCGATCACGCCGTCGAGGTCGTCGTCGATGTGGATCCTCCTCCGGGGCGCGGCGTCGGCGGGCCGGAGGAACTTCACCGTGAGGAGGAGGAGGAGGAGGAAGAAGAAGAGACGTGGAAGCGGAAGCGGAGCGGTTTGGTTCGCCATTGCTTTGCGGAACGAAGAGAGATGGAATGAAATGGAATTTAGAAAGGCGGTGGTGAAGACGACAGTTTGGAGATCAGGTGGTGAACGACCGGCGTGTGCGCTCGAAGCTTGAAGGAGACGGATTCTGGTAATTTGGCGGGCCGGGCCCGCTTGTTCACTCATGGGCCCAAGACACGAAGGTTGTCTTCGGGCTTCGAGCCCATCCGTCCAGGGCCCGAACAGCATACGGTGATTCGGGCCGGGCCGTGACTATCGATGCTGATAAAATGAGGCCCAAAACATACCGCCGAGCCATTTTGTTAACGCACCCTTTCTTGAGAAAGTATTTGTATGGACCAGTTGGGTGATCGGTCCCGAGGGTGCGTCGGTTCTCGTCTCGGAAGCTGGAACCTGTCCGGTTAGGGTCAGTTCCTAGTTTGTAAAACTGGGAACCGACCTTGTCGACCATGGAATTGGCCTAGATCCGAGAAACCGATCGGGTGTTTTCTTTTCTTCTTTTTTTGCCGTTTATTTGAACTTGACCGACGTGTGATTCTTCCTATGCCACGCATTTTATTGAGCATGTGATTATGGCAAGCCTAGACTGTGATATTGCACGTGCAGCTTCATCAGGTATGAAGAGACATTTTGTACATTCCTACTGTCTACATTTCACCAGCTTTCTCAATTTTCATCATCAACCACGCATTTTGTTTCGTTTCGACCCAAAAAAGGAAAAAACACTGACTTTCGTTAATTGACAAGATTCCTTTTAATAAGCATCGTTCTTTGCCATGTTATGTACCGAGACCAGTGCTCCCCTCTATGGATCATGATATATAGACCTTACAAAATTACAACAATGTGGACCCGATGCGAACCCGATTCGAGACGACGCTGGCCCAAGTCTCGAGCCATTGAATCCCGACACAAGTTCGCAAGCGCGTACGTAAGTAACAGTAATACGCACCTTTGCCGAATGTCGCAGAGGTAAAAAAGCAAGAATCGGGACAAGCATGCGGGCGACATTATTATGTTAGCAATATGCCTGTGGGCACTCTTTCCATTGGCTGATGGCAGCAAGAGGCTGCTATCCTGACTATTTCTCACGTATTAATTATTATGTTCTTTTAATGTGTATTCACGGACGGATCTTTCTAAATATCCGAATCTTTTAAGCTGCGCATGTCGATTTTCACGATAAATTGCGTTTGTGCAAGTAAAAAAAAGGGACCAGATAAATTCACGGGCCTTAGTTTCCTAGCTCTTCCAGCATTGCTTTCTTGTTCGTGCAATGGAATTTGCTGCTGAGGAAGTGAGTTTTCTCCCTGAATGTATGAACATTTTAAAAAGAAAAACTATTCGCACCGGTCATGATTAGCCTAACGGCAGACATTATATTCCTCCCTATTCCAAGAAAATAAATGATCTGTAGCTACCTAACCCGAGGCTGCTTTACAGGTCCAAATGAAAGAAAAGAAGAAGAAGAGAGATTGCTGAAGTCCAAGTGCATCGACCAAAAAAGCAAGTCCAAGTGCAGTGGATGTGCCATGCCACAGAAAACCACGTGCAGCGCCTCTTTCGCGTGCATTGCATCGCGCCAATATGATATCAAGTCGGAGGAAGCCCTACGGCGCCCGCTTCTTTTGGCTATTATATTCTTCTCATGATGTTGGGTCGACCATCCACAGCCAAATTCAATTAATAACTCCTCGAATTTCATGTTTTGTTTAAGAATTCACATGGCGAATATCATGTTTCGAGTTTTTTTTTTTTTAACTTCGAAAGCCCGCTTTGCTTTCTGTTAAATGCGATCGGATCAATTTCGAAGTGGACCCAAAAGGCCAAAAGAGGAAATATGTTGCGGGAACGCAACGTAACATCACACGGGTTCTCATCGAGACAACCTTACCCTAACGTCGTCTCCATCTCATCCTTGCTCGGACTTTATGGAATCATTGACCGAGGATGTTGGACCAGAAAATGAACCTATGAAAGCTGCCAACTTTTTCGTCCCGATGGCTGTCCTGACAACACCATTTGCGGGTGAGCTCTGTTGTTCCTGATGTGAGACGGAAGGACGAATCAGGATCAGCTTACGATCTTCGCCTGCCCCAACAAAAACAAAGTAAGGTCTGTCGAGTAATATTTTATGTAATTGGTCATTAAGAAGAGGAGTCTTCACCGTGTGCAAAGGAGGAACAAACATATCTCTCACAAACTGCACCGGTCCATGCAAATATTACCTCCCAAGTAGCACCAAAACGGTATCCATTGCACACCCGAGTGTATAGGTGCAATTCCTATTTCCCAGAGCAGCGTTTGCATAAATTCACTGATAAAGGAGAAAAGTTTCTCGTTCGGAAAGTACAATCAATTGGGTCTATAAGGAAATCGCAAATTATTCTGGTAGGATGATGGGTCCAAAGTTTTTCCCCGGCTTTTCGATATGGAAAGTCAAATGACGCTTGTTAAGTCTCATTAATTGTGCCTCGAAAGCATAGATGTTTTTATTTGAAGTGAATGACCTTTTTCAAGATGTGTCCGTATGTGTTCTTAGCCATCTCAATTAGCGTCTCGAACACCAGTTAACATGACCTTTTCTATATCGTGAACGAGTCTACACTCCTCGAATTACCAACTACCCCGTTTTCCTTCGTTGGGATATTTAAATAATAAATCACGCCTTTATCTAACAGCTTAAACTTTTAGAACGGTTGGCAGTAGTCCCATAAAATCTTTCATGGTATCAAAGCAGGAGATTTCTGAGTTCGAATCTTCCAAGCCCCTATCTGCCTCCCCAATTAAATATTTCCACACTCAGTACCGGTAAAAAATACCAGACTAAGCGTGAGAAGGAGTATTGAAATATTTAAATAATAAATCATATCTGAACAACTGGCAGTGATCCCATAGAATCTTTCATTCTCGTTTGGCTCATTTTTTTGACTGCTTGCGCGCTTGGCCGAATCAAACTTCCAGTCCCAAGCTTCTGTTTTCCTTGTGGTGATTGACCTTTGGCGCTGCCAAGAGCCAACTCCTTTTGCTCCCTTTGTATTTTCGAGGGATTCCACCCAAATTTTTTGGCTATTGACGTTGGAATGGACATGTGATTACGATCCGGCCCTACAGGTTCGAGCATCTTATCCTTTCGTCTCTGCATCCGTGGCTTGTTTGGTTTAGAATTTTCTCCCTAGCTGCCGGAACACTAAAGAATCTAAAATAGAAAAAAAGTGAAAAATTGGAGAAATCTTGTGTTCGGGATAAGACAATGCGAACTTAACATTCAAATGACATCATTTCTTGGAGCAAATCTTCAATTGAAATGACAGAAAAGAAGGAACAACTCTTTGCATTGCGTGGTTAAAAAGGGTCGTGAATCTCTCTCCTTAGTAAAATTGCCTTTCCACTGAATTGAAAGATGGACTCGTTCTCATTGAAAAGATCAACCATCCCAACAACCTCAAAGAAAAGCTGATTACATGAGTGACGTGTGCACACGCGATTGGTCCTCGACCCGACAAAGACCTTTCCAAAAGGGGCCTTGAGATCGGTACATTGAACCCCTCCGAGCCAATCGAATCTTGTGCGGAAGATGAAGTCTCCGTCCATCTTTAGTTTTTGCACGGCAAATCGATCCATCATCAACGTCTGCAGATCCAATGTCTCGGTTGGATCAAACATTGTACTTGTTGATTTTGCAATTGTTGTTGGGATTGGCTTTCATTCATCTCATCAATCCATCCATCTCATCTAAATATATACTAATTCCCGGTCAATTGCGGTAATCGTAGTTATTGTAATTGTAATTGTTTTGCTCTTGTTACGGTTATTAGAAATTTTTTTTTATTTTTTTTTTGTAACCGAGGATCCGCCACCATTTCCCGGGGACGAGCCCGCACGGGTAATCAGGGCGCCTATACCTCGGGGGAGATTAGCCCAGCAACCCACTGCCAGAGCCCTCCACTTAAATTACGGAGCCGAGCGGGGATTCGAACCCAGAACCTCTAGGAGGGAAGGAAAGCGCCCACCAACTCGGCCATGCGCAGGTGGGTCGGTTATTAGAATTATTGGCCATTGATTAAATCAAGAAACCTGCATGAGCGGGTGCCGTTGCCTTTACGAACACCGCATAATGCCATTGTCTATGGGGAATCCTGGGGCCATGGCCATAAATATCACTTTCGAGCTTCGAATCTTAGTTACTCCTAGTGCTTCCCCCAAGTGATGCAACAGACAGTACCACCAATCCTAGACTAATTACGTATGTTCAGGTTTATATTACTTTTGCTAACAACCTCTACTTTCACGAACTGAAGTAGCAAGCACAGTTTCACCAAATTCTCTTTTACGGATATCCTCATTTATAATCAAATCACAAACCCCATCAAAAGTCAAGCTTGTTGACTTAGAGAAATTATTAATAGCAGTAACAGTACTATTCTAACTATCAAGCAATGATAACATAATTAAAGCACGTACCTCATATTTAAAGTGAATCTCAATTGAACTTAATTGACTAATGACTACATTAAATTTATTGATATGATTAGCACCCGACACACCGTCACATATCTTTAATTAAACAGATGCTGCATTAAATAGACCTTGTTGATCACAAAGGGCTTCTCGTACATGTTCGACAGGGCCTTCAGCAAACCCGCGATGGTCTCATTCACGATGTTAAACGCAACATTACGAGCTAACGTCAGCTGAATAACACTTGACGCCTGTCTATCCAACAATTTCCATTCAACTTGCTTCATCGAGTTTGATTTCTTCCTAGATAGGAGTAAGTGCAAATTCATCTGATACAAATAATCTCCAATCTGCATCTTCAAGAAATCAAAATCATTCACATCAACTATGTCGATTCCCACTTTTCCTTCTTCTGTCACCATCGGATCGCTTCAACTCAGCCAAGCCTAATTCCGATACCAATTGTTGTGGAAAACAAGCGATCAAATAGTAAATTAGACAGGACTAGAATAAATCGAACACCAGATTTACGTGGTTCGATCGATATGACTTATGTCCAGAGGGAGAGCAGTTTCGTTATAGATCAAATAATACAATGAAGATTACAACACACTCAAATCACTCAAACACTCTCAGAGTTTCCCAACCATAATTGCATCCAATAACGCACACGGTGTTTAGCCATAATAATCTCTCAATTTCACAATGGAATTACACAAAATCCTAACACAAGATTTTCACGGATTCAAACACTAGGGATGTTAGTCACAAGCAAAAGCTCTCTTTAATGCTCTTCGCAAAGAACATCAACTTCTTATTTATAAGCAAGAATTTAGATTTAAAATAGAAAATCTCTTTTTAGGAAACTTCCTATTTAATGAATCATCGAACTAAGAAGTCTAATTTTACTTGAGTTAGGACAGTTTCCTTTATGGGCTCAAACCGCATTTTTCTACACATTTTTCACTTTGTCCTTGATCAGCATATTTCTGACCACTAGGCAGTATATAAAGGGAGGCATCACCTTCACCCTCTTTATCTATCTCTCTCCCAAACTCTCTCCTAGCATCCACAGACGAGTAGGAAGAGACCACCGTGCGTGGGGAGAGAGAAGTGGACGCTTTCCATCATCAATGGCTGCTCTCAGGAGTTGCTTGAAGAGAAGCTCCCAGACCCGCCACAGTCATGAGCTCCTGATGCCGCTCCGATCGCTCTTCTCGACGGAAGCCGTCGCGTCGGGCTCCCCTTCCTTCGCGCAGCGTCTCCGAGACCTCCCCAAGGACCTCCCGGGGACCAAAATCAAGACCCACGTCTCTCAGGTCGTCTCCTTTTTCAGATTCCCTTTGCTTGAGCAGGCCAATCTTTGCAGCTCAAAAACGGAGATTGCTTTACCGGCCGTTTGCTTGTCATTTCAGTTCTTTGTCCCGTTCTCTGTTCTCTCTCGCCAGTTATGCATCGCCACGTGTCAGTTTGGGGGGGTGGGGGGGGGGGGGGGAACCGGACAAGTACGGCGTTTTTTCCTCTTCCGTCGGATAATTTTCGTAGAGGGTCAATCGACAAATTTTCAACCTTTTGTAAAAAAAAAGAAAATTTTGAATTTGAAGCATTTTTCACTCTCTTTTTTTTATTTTTTCCCTTAGCCGTGTGATGAGATCAGGGTCTTAATTAAGTTTGGTCGAGGGGATAAAAAGGGCCATGTACTTTTGGTAGCTGTCTGGAAAAAGACTATTGACGATGGACAGATGGAATCGAATCAAGGATCTTGGTACCGTTTCTTGAATCAGTATCCCCCGTGCCATGTGAGCAATTGGGTCTAGATGTGCTTGATAATTAATGTATAATCATGTACTCTTTTATAATAATCAAGTGTATTCTTTTCATAATTGAAAGTGTGCTGACACAATGCTTGATATCAGCTGATTGGAAGAACTCCCCTGGTATTTCTGAACAAAGTCACCGAAGGATGCGGGGCTTATGTTGCAGTCAAGCAAGAGATGATGCAGCCTACGGCCAGCGTCAAAGACAGGTTCGTCCTTCGCTTTCGTCGCGATAAAAAAATTGTATTTCGTGCCGTTCTTCGGAAAAGACCGCTTCACACTCGATATTAGGTACGTTTATCGCACTCAAAGAGAGGAATATGTGATTTTATATTCATTGCCAGGCCCGCACTTGCGATGATCGAAGATGCCGAAAAGAAGAACTTGATCAGTCCCGGGAAGGTTAATTGGCTCCTCCTTTGTGCTCGTTATTTTGCTCCGCCGATCTCGGTTTTTCTCGGACTGACTCGTGTGGTTTTTTACCGAAATAGACGACTTTGATAGAGCCGACTTCGGGGAACATGGGGATCAGCCTGGCTTTCATGGCGGCCATGAAAGGGTATAAGATGGTCCTAACGATGCCCTCTTACACAAGCTTGGAGAGGAGGGTCACCATGAGGGCGTTCGGCGCCGAGTTGATCCTCACCGATCCCACCAAGGGAATGGGCGGGACGGTCAAGAAGGCTTATGAACTCTTAGAATCCACTCCAAATGCTCATATGCTGCAACAGTTTGCGAATCCGGCCAATACTCAGGTCGCGGCAAGCTTCATTTTTGGTGGTCTCTTGAATTGGTTGAACAAAGACACTTTGCTCGACTCATCTTATTTAAATGATCTGGAAAACAGGTGCATTTTGAGACTACTGGTCCTGAGATATGGGAGGATACGAATGGACAAGTAGACATTTTCGTGATGGGGATTGGCAGCGGCGGCACCGTGTCGGGTGTCGGGCAATATCTCAAGTCCAAAAATCCTAATGTCAAGGTCGGTAACCCATTATCTGATTTTAACTCACCTCTCGATCGCAATACTAAAGCTACTCGCCATATATTCTTTGCTAATGCTACTTTTTACTTTGGAATGGCAGATATATGGACTTGAGCCTACTGAAAGTAATGTCCTTAATGGCGGCAAACCTGGTAAACACTGCGACGCTCACCCTCTCTTCATGGATACATTGCCTTTTCCTTTCACAATATTCTGAAATGGAAGACCTCGTAAACAATATATGTCGTTTTGGTTGTTTCCTGCACTACATTAATTTTCTCAAAGAGAGATGTTTCGAGCATTGAGCTCCTTATGTCATACAGGACCCCATCATATCACCGGCAATGGTGTCGGATTCAAGCCGGATATCTTGGACATGGATGTAATGGAGGAAGTTCTCATGGTGAGTTTGTCACTTGATATACTGTTTTGCTAGTGCCGTAATTAGAGAGAAGGGGGGGCTGACCGCGCTTAACTCTTTCTTATGTGAGGCGGCAGGTTTCCAGTGAAGACGCGGTGAATATGGCGAGGCAATTGGCATTAAAGGAGGGATTGATGGTATTCTTTTTACCCTGATAGTTGCCGTATGCTTAGTAATTGCCTTTTTCAATCGTCCTAGTTTAAAGACGATTGATATCTGGTTGCTGGGATAATTTAGGAAGCAATCTACATGATGCAGGTTGGAATATCTTCTGGAGCTAACACTGTCGCTGCTCTCAGACTCGCGCAAAGGCCAGAGAACAAAGGCAAGCTTATTGTGGTAAGCATGATGCACTTCCCAGAATTGTTGAACCTATTATCATTCATTGTCTTCTCGCACGAGCATGTTTTTTTCTTCTTCTTTTTTTACAAAACATGCGCTCCCATTGCCAAAAACAAATTAGTTCCCTCTGTGACGCGCTTTCTCGCTACGCATTATCGTGACTCGCGAGTTCTAATCACAGATTCTTCGTTGCTTTTCATTTCAGACCATTCATCCAAGTTTTGGGGAAAGATATTTGTCGTCGGTCCTGTTCCAGGAGTTGAGGGATGAGGCCGAGAAGATGCAACCGGTTTCGGTCGACTGAGGCGGGTTCTTCACTAGGAGAGTCGCACAGCATTTTGATTAACAAACCTAGATGAAGAAAATGCTTGCGCGAACTGCCGTTCGTGCAGCTAAACATGGGTCTCTTGTCACTCTTGCCTCTGTGTACTTGGTGATTTTATGTTTTTATTTGGACTAAGTGTCGAATCTTCCTCAATAATAATACGCGCGAGGTCGAAATTACACATGCCATGTTGTCGTTTTCGCTCGCATCCTTGGGAACTCACCTTCTTGATCGGAAATCAGTGTCGGGTTAGGACAAGTTGTGCTAATGTGACAGCAATGAGGATTGGCTTCGACTTTCTAATGCTGTTTATCCTCGGGATGTCTCAATCTGGTGGATCACGAACGGGAAAGAGGCCAATTGAGTGGAATGTGTTTCAACTTTTGAATCTTTGAAACACCTTTACGCCATCAAGCTGTGTTTGGTAAATCGGATATAAGGCCTGGATAGCATATGCCTTATCCCATGTGGGATTTGGGACAGTCCTCCGGATGTGATAAGCCTAGATTAGTCTAGATTTAGCCAATATAAAATCAGCCCAAATCCTCATTAGGTACAAGAATTTGAGATCCTGAAAAAAGGCAAAACAAAATCAAGAAAGAACAAAGAAAGCGAGGAAAGATCGAGGGGGCTTCTTGTCCGTCCCCGGCGACCACTACCCGTCATTGTCAATAACCTATCGCGATGGTAACAGTGACCATCGCGATGGTGGTTGCCTTTGCCAAGGCCCAAGTTAAACACCAAGCCTCTCTCTCTCTCTCTTCACACTGCTACCACCTCAAGGTGGTGACGATTCCCAAGCGATGACTTTCTCCCTCTCCATTTGAATTCAAGAGGACAATAAGCACTGCCAGGTGACACCTCAAGGGCACGATTCCGAAGCAACGCTGACCACCCTGTGATGATTTGTCCTCTCTCTCTAGATCTAAGGATAGTAGAAGTGACTGGCCCGGTCCCACTCCCACCTAGAAACTAAGAACCGGATCAAAAGGACCGATTCCCATCCAGCAACCAGGAACCGGACCAGAGAAACTAGTTTTTTGTTTTTGGAACCAGACCAGTTCCGGAGTAAGACAACGGAACCGGTGGCATGTTCTTTTTTTTTTTTTGATTTGTCGTTAATGATCAAAGACGAAATTGAAGACGCGTAACATTTGTAGCTTTCATGAGATTTTTCCAACTTGTGACAAAATTTAATTGGAATGAACAATTACTGTTATCTTTTAATTTGTTCTTGTCATCTTACTCACGTGCATAAGTAAACGAAGTTGCTCCAATCTCGAAAGGCCTTCCTTTGTGAAATAGGAGATAGATTAGGTTTTTTTACAGATTTTTAAGAAAATTAGTCCGGGTGGGCAGCCCCACACTTGAAATCGGGAACTGGATCGAAATTCATCAGAAACCGGACCGATGACCACGGGAACCGCCCTGAACCGACCGATCCGATCCGATTTAGACCACCGCCTCATGGTGGTCCTATGAGGTGGTCGTCATCCTCAGCGACCAACATATGGCCGCATGGCATAAACATATCAAATATCCTATCTTAGTTAGCCTTCCAATTCTAGTTTCTAAAACAAGAGAAAAGATCTGATCTACAACCCATAGACGACAGTGAAGAGTTCGAATAATATATCGGCAGGAGTGACCCATAGCTAATGGTGCACTTCACCCGTCATCCAAGAAATGAAAATCAGCCCTCAGACGCAACGAATCTGTTAAAAAGCAACAAAGAAAATGGCATTGCATCGTCAACCAACACCAACACACACCTACAGAGACCCCGTTTGGACATTTGGCAAGCATTCCCAATGCTGGCTTTCAGAGCTCTAAGTTAATCCGGACTAGTTTTGGGCTTTCAACATTTGCCAAATACTGAAACCAATTTTTTTCTTCCCAAACTACCCTCACTAATTCTTTAATATTTTGATTTTGCCCCTTGTTATTACTGTTCATCTTCTTTGCGCGAGGGCGGCCGGCTAGAGCCAACGACGCCAGATGAGGACGACGAAGGATCAACAAGGTCATACGACCCCGGTGATGGCCGCCGGCGGTAGATCTGACTCGCCGGCGGCCATAGCCCTTTGCCGGAGCCTGCAAAGGGTAAGCTTTTTTTTAATTAAAAAAAAATCCCGAAACCCTTTGCTAAAAAAGATTATCAAACACTACTTAGGCCAAAATAGCTTTACAAAAACTTTTTTACCAAACGCAATTTGCCTTTCCCCAAAAGGTTTTAACCTAAAAATATTTACATTTCCCCAAAGCTCATTTGCAAAGTTGAATCAAACGGGTGCAAAATCCGACTATCTAGACAAATAGTCTTTCATGTATTTCAAAATCTCACAATGGGCTGTTCACAATAACGTTTGAGAAGGTATTGCCTCTTGGTTTCATGTAAAACAGAAAATACAACTAATCCAGAAGATTTTCATCCCATCCCATCGTACCTGTTATCAACATTAGGGATTACTGCAGCAACTGTTGACCGTAGCATTAAGTAGATATTGACTTTCCAGTATTAAACCCGAAAAAACGAGTGCTCTTTCATAAATCATTTCCAAAAGACATGTTCCCTTCAATTGAAGCATAAAACGAAATCTCTCTGAAGTTCACAGTAAGTGGCCATAATTGCAAAAGGCAAAATGTCTCCACCTGCTCGTATACACACCACTGGAGCAATGACGTTCACGGCACCTTCCTCCACTAGACTATTACTTTCACTTAAAACATACAATTGGATCGATCCCATATAAGAACATCACCAATTGATAACTCACTTTATGAACCAGCTAACAAAGAAGTTCTCATATGATTTATAGATCTTATGGACCAAAACGTTTTGAACTACTAAGGATGTTGGTTCCTCCATATAAGCCCACGTGATTGATAGTCCAACCGAACTTGGATTACATGGTCTATAAGCCATAAAATATTTTTGTTATCAGCTACTAAGCATTTAAATATCCAACCGTTCATTCACAAGAGAGCCGACAGTCAAGTTTGTGGAGGAAAAGAACAAATGGCTCCACATTAGAAGACAATAACTAGCAGTAATTTCAAATTTTCATAGTCCAATCAATTTTGTCTTTCACAAGTGAGTATTTGCACTGACATGCCCAAACATACCAACAAATGTGTAAGCAGTCCTAAGATTATATCACAAAATTGATGAAGCCATTTCAATGGTCAAACAATCTCAACAAGTTTCTCTAGTTGCTAAATTGTGCTGCAAAATCAGCATCCATTTCATCGCCTGGCTTTACTATGGACTCTGGCAACTCGCTAAATCAGGTGACTAGAAAGGAAAAGTTGAGGTACCACGGCTAACCGAAAAACAAAATACCTGTCTTAGATGTTGGTTGTCAACATAAAGCAACTTGGTGTGTATCTCAAAAACTGAAGGTACATGGGCCAAAAGCACTTGGACAGTACTGCAGCTTCTACAGCCAAAAGCTACCTTCTGATGGCAACATCTACCATAGCCGATGATCCAATCCATCAAATATCCAAAACAGTGCTCACTTATGAACACCAAGACATTTCACTTTCTAAGCAAATTCCATGCTGATCAGCTAAGAATTCTTTTGGAAACACGGATTTGAGAGAGGCACCAACAGAGGATACTCCCAGAATTTACATTTCTTGGCATATCACCTACTCGCGTTCTATCAAGTCACTTTTTGCTATTAGCATGTGACTTTGTGGGAGAATAAAATATGGAGCTTGTGGATTTAGTTTCGTGACGACCACCCCATTTAACTGCTAGATTAGTTTCTGCCTCATCATCATCACTGTTAATGTCATTTGGAGAAACCCTGTTCTGGCATCCTCGTCGTTGCAGAAGAAAGACATTAAAGTAGTAGCTTACCAACTCCTCCCTGCTTTTTCTTGGAAAAACTCTAAATATCTGGTCCCAGAAACACTTATCCTGTGATAGGGAATTCATCTTCATAATGGTTGCAAACTTATTCCGTTCTTCTTCTGTCCAAGAAAGTCTTACTTCCTCTCCCATTTTATGAAATTTCCACCGGTAAAATGCTGAGCCCAGTTCAATTTTCAATTTTAACCTTTTCTCAGCGATGTGAAATCTGACGCACTCTGTGGAACCCAGAACCGGGCAGCCGCATGTATTTTGTCTTCCCTTTCCAATAGGATCCCTTTCAATAATAATTCTTTTCTCTGCTTCATTGAGTGGCCAAACCTTGGTCCCCAACCATTTAGAGTCAATTTCAGAGGAAATCCCATTCCAGACAGGTACTGCAGCCTGATATTGAGAACCCAATGGAACTTTTTGAAGATTATAATCCCGAAACAATAAATCTACAGTCGAAGAATTAGATGTAACATCTTCACCGGCATTATTTCCCATCCTTGCCATGCATGTACTAGGACTTTTGTCCACGTTACTTTGACCACTGGAGGAGAATGACTCAGAAAAGGCTTGACCGTGCGTTAACTGTTCTCCAGGCGAAACCTTCTGGTTGCTTTTTGATCTCTCCCTGAGATTGTAGCTGGATCCAATATTATCATCATACATGCGTAGATCCGTCTTCTGATTTTTCTACAAGATGAGTCATGACCTCACTCAAACATTGCATTGAATGGACACATCTAATTTAAAACTTAGTCATAAAAATATTACAACGAAATATTAGAATATAACATCATGAGTTGAAATACCGAGACAAAATCTCCAAGGAGAAATTAAAGGTGCATTTAGTTCCGGAGAATATTTACCAATTTTTCATTCACTCAACATTTTGATGAAACTGTTTTAATACTCAACATTTCAGCTTCCTGAAAACGTGTTCCGTCCATTGGATACAATTTGCAACTTTTTGTATCCAATTATTGGTTTCAATCAAGAAAGTTTCATAATGGTCACTAAAACAAAATTCAGCACTTCCAGTTAATGAAGTGGAGTTCAACGAGCTCCACGAAACAAGCCTATGTTCAATAACCACATAAGAAGATAAACCTTTTAAAATCAATGAAATTTGGCAATGCTTCATATTAGAGTTTCCTTATTTCGCTATGCAAAAAAAGTGAAAACGCACTATAGCTTTCTCGTTTTCATGAAAACTGTTTTCTGGTTTCAGAAAATTTTAAAACAAAGCGGGCTACTGTTGTTTTTACAGAAGATCGAAAATAAAGGGCTAGAAAACTAATAACCAAATGCACCTCTTGGCTGTAGTCACTTTTCACTCAATGAAGCCAACTGACACTATTACCCAATAAGGTGATACAATCTCTGAGGTAAACTCCGTGGTCAAAGAAATATACTTATTTCATCGGTTTTGATTTGTTTTTCTGCTAAGTATCTTATTCTCTACCCATAATTAGGTCAGACAAATTTTGACACAAATTGACACAACCAAACATATTCATGGAAGCAAATGTTTGTAAACTAAACAATGACACGTTCAACAAGAATGATAACTAGTTGCAATCACACAATTTCTCAAATTTGACACTTGAACAGGAATTGCAAGCCCCACCCCTAAGCAACATTTACCAAAAGGAACTTCTGCACTTTACAAATAATAAGCATCTTTCACCCTTTTGTATATCCCCCTTGGGCCATCTATCACTTATGAAGCTCTCAGCAAAATATCCAACATGAATGTGTACGGCTAATAATGATTTTGTGTTGGAGGAATGTTAGTAACAGACATGGGAAATACCAGAATACCGTATTAGAAAGATAGAAGAGAAGGAGCAGGTAATACTACTGAGTAACCAGTGAATAAGGAAGAGAACCGGGTACAGAAAACATAGCTCATGAGAATTTGTAGCAGCAACCATATTCAGCAATTGTTAGTTAAATGGCATTATGGAGTAAATGAAATATGCATAGTAGAATTGATAGCACTTTCTGGCATGAAAGTGGGGAGAAAGAATGGGCAGTGCTATTTCCACTCCATTTTGACTACGACACCCTTTTTTTACTTAAGTGACCGAAATACCCTTTTCTCTTCAATTAATTCTTTCTTTGTTTATCAGGTTAACTAACAAAACTGACTTTATTTTTATCATCTCTCATCAATTTCACAATATAAATGCCCCTAACACCCAACAAGATATCATCTTATCCTGCCTCATGTTATCACTTGGCCTAGAGAAGGCTGTTAATTTTAAATTATGGTCTCATATTTTTAATCACAAAAGCTACATAGAAGATTAGGAATTTCTATTTATGACGGCTTATGAACACACAATTAATTGACTATTTTTTATCAAATAGTTTGAGCGAAACTACATTTCAAAGTTAAAATTAAATTTCAATCTAATTATCTAGTCGATCTTGATCAAAATGGAAAAAAAATGATGTAAATATGGAAAAGGTTGATTTGTTAGAAATATGATCAAAAATTTAATATGTTTATATTTAGATCGTTTCAAAACAAAAGATAAGCACACAAAAGGAAAAAAAGAAAACTTCTTGCTCATCAACTTCTACCGTGAAGGAAGTAATTAATACCGATTGTAGATGCAATCTCAGAACAAGTGGATCAAAACTTTAAAATATGCTTAAAACTTCCCTTTTAAATATTTTGATGTGAATTTGAAAATGAATAAGTTGTAACTAAATTTTCAACCCCCATCTTGCAATTCAGATTAAAATGTGAAAAGCTCAAAATAAAGTACAAAATAACTTTAGAAACCTACAGACTTATTCCAGAAAAACACCCATAGTCAAGATTGGCTTTAAATTAGATTGAAAATTTATTTTCAACTTTAAAATATAGATTTGCTCAAATTATTTGAATGAAAAATAGGCAATTAATTGTGTATTCACAAGCCATCATAATTAGAACTTTCTAATCTTCTATATAACTTTTGTGATTAAAAATATGAGACCATAAATTAAAAATTAACTTCATTAGGCAAAGTGATAACAGGGTGTAGGATAAAACGATATCTTCGAATTTATGTTGTAAGCCGATGAGAGAGATAACAGAAATAAAGTGAGTTTTGTTGGTTAGCCTACTGTGTATTCAAAAGCCATCATAAATAGTGCTTTCTAATCTTCTAAATAACTTTTGTGATTAAAAATATGAGACTATAAATTAAAAATTAACAACTCCTCTAGGTAAAGTGGTAAAATGATATATTCACATTTATATTGTGAAACTGATTAGAGAGAAGATAAAAAATACAGTTAATTACCTTACCAAAAAAAAAATAATAAAGTTAATTTTGTTAGTTAGCCTGATAAACAAAAAACATTACATTGAAGAAAGAGAGAGAGAAAAGGGTTTTTCTATCTAAAACCCCAAAAAAAAAAATGCCTTAGCCAGAATAGGGGGGGGGGATATAGCACCAATCCAAGAAATCTTCAAAACATCGTCGGATGGAGTCATGAATTACATGCATCGGTCATTCACCTCCATTTAAATATAAAACATCGGCTATAGCATTGATTAACATGCTATTATTTGACCTTCGCTTCTATTCATGAGTAGATTCTCTTTTAAGACTTTAAACTGTAGAGAAACCCACCAAATTTATCACAAAAAGAGTACTCATACTAGGACAGACACGAGTGCAAAATTGGAGGTGAGCATGATCTTTCAACATCGATAGACAAAATTATCTGCAAAAGCACACTTAGAGGAGTTTTGACCAAAAAAAGGACTAAAGAATAGTTAAAACTGATGAAGAATCCCCTTAGTTGAATCAGGGTCATTCACCCTAAAGAAAAAGCCCCAAAACATGACTTAAATCATGAATCTGCATCCAAGACTCAGCAATAAACTCCATTGAATAAACCCAATGCAACACTCAATGGAAGATTGCAAAACACACTTACAGTCAGATAGCATATTGAGATCCAACAAACCGTGCAACGGAAGATTTCATCCAAGAATCAGCAATAAACTCCAATGAATGAACCCAGTGCAACACTCAATGGAAGATTTCAAAACATACTTACAGTCGAATAGCTTATCGAGATCAAACAAACCGTGGGATGATAGTCTACCTGCCAAGTTACAGGTCCCATGTCCTTGCCACCGTCTTGTCTATGGATCATAGCTTCACGTGCCAACAACACCTGCTTCCACAATACTTCATTCCCATAAGACTTCCATTTTGACTTCTCTGGCAAAGCACCTAATCCTGAAGCGCATGGATCTTTGGCAAATTTAGTCAACCATTTAAGCATACCCAAAAATGGCGAGTGTTTCCTCTTAAAACGAGACAACACCTCTTCATTAAACACCTTTCTATCCAGAATCATTACATTGTCGTCGTCATCATTAAACGATGTCTGAGAACCCGATTGAGCAACCACACATCCCTTCTCATCATCGGCTGAACTTACAGTTCTCTCGTCCTTCTTTTGGTCCAAGTTTACCGAGTCTTGATCAACAATCTCATAATGCTTTCTCTTCTTAGTACCGTCCCGTTGCTTACCACCCGTCGACGCCAGCAAATCACTTCTACTGTTCAAATCCCCATTGTCATGCAGCAGCTTCCCACGGTTCACCGAAGTTAACTCGCTCTCTTTGGAGTCCATATGCATAAATCCCTCATCCTCAACACACATCATCAACTCGAAAAAAAACAAACAAACGGCGCTCTCGCACTAACCCGCCGAGGCAGCCGAGCCAAATCTCACACAGACAGCACACCTCCTAGCTCAAACGAAGAACGGCATTACAAGCAGACAAAGGCACCGGCGCATTCCGATTCGGCTTCCGCGAGGCTCAGGCGCTCTACGCCGGGCCACCACCCGCCGCCCCTGCGACGAAACACCTCAGTTCAAGACACGTAAGCAAAGCGAAAAACAAGACACGGGCACACCGCATTTCTCTCGGACCCGAAAACATTCAGCTCAAAGCAGAGGTCGGAAAACGAGTGACCCAGGAATCACGGGATCAAGCGGATCGCGACGGACCGTACAGATTCGGCAACTGGCGGGGTGGGGGGTCGGGGGGAAAAGCGAGCGGTTTCGAGCCTCGGGTTTTTGGCGGGAAGAGGGGGGACGATCTAGGGCTCCTTCGGAGGGCTTCCGCTTTTGGACCCGCCGCGCTCGCTCCACCCTCTTAGCTGCGCATGTTTTGGAAGCGAAAGGGAAACAGAGAGAGGGAGAGGGACAGGAACGCGAAAAGAGCAAAATTCAAACTTCAATTCTCTCAACAGATGCAGACCCACCCTCCCATCGCAAAGCGAGAACCCAAAAGACCAAAACCCCTCTTTAAAAAACAAGGGAGGAGGGCGTGATGAGGGGAGGTGGCGAGGGGGAGCGAGAGACCATTTTCCTTTTTACCTTTGTGGAAGTTTTCTCCGGAGAACCTGGGCCTTCTTTCGGCGTTGTTTCGGCCTCTTCGCAAAGAGCTCTCTGTCTACTCCACGGAAGCCCTCTTTCGTGCGTCTCCTTTTTGGCGATCGAGGAAAATGGGAAAGGGGACAACTTACGAAAAACACCGAAGGCCGCTCTTCGAGAGAGGGGGCCCCTTTTTATAGTCCGATGAGTGTGGGGTTTGATGATTGACTAAACCTTGGTTAGTAATTAACCGTGGTTGGTTTTTGTATGTAGGGTACGTATCGCTTTGTGTAGGGTGTGTTGAATGTGGAAGGTTAAAGGGTCAAAAAGCGATTTTCGAGGAGACGGTGGGGGGGAGAAGATGGGAAGATATTTTGTGTATCGGTTACCGCGCATGCCGTCGGTGACCTGTGGTGGCAGGTGATGACGTGCAGCGACATGTCCTGTTATCTCGCACGAGTTTATGTATTCTCTCATCCCCTAAGCGGTATAACTTAATTTGCGTCTGATCGTCCGAATTCGGATCGAGACGGGACAAGATAAATTGAGATTAGAAATTCTCCCAGTATCCTCCGAACCGGAGAAGATCTCATCATATGTTCGGTGTAATTTAGGATTGGATAGAAAATTTTTGAAAATACTCCGCCGTGTCGAGAAGCCTCCACCTCTCCACTTCCGACACTCCCCGTAGTGCCTCGGGTCTGTTGCCCTCTTGTCTATACGAGAGGGTCGCGACCCCCTGTCCACATCACAGAGATGGGGAGTTAAATCTCGACGGGATTGATTCGGGTTGCCTTTTAGTTGTTCCACTTGGGTTGTCGTTGAATTGCTCAGTCGAGGACCTGCGAAAGAGCATCGTTCACTCACCTGATGCAGATTGACCCAAAAACAAGAGTTCCCATAAAGAAATGCTCAAAAAAGAAGTTGCAGTTGAAAATGGATGGCTTTGCTATCTTTTGATGGGCTTATGGCTATGGAGGCTGTAATTATTGCTGGTTAATATGCGTAACACCTTCCGAAATAAACTCTCACAAGCAACTTTTTCTCTTAACTTTTTATTCTCTTAGTTTGCATTTTAACCACATATTGTTACAATGTTTTCTCAACCAAACCATTTAGATGATTTGCCTTAAGGTAAATGGATCACCTGTCTTTTACGAGATCGCGAGTTCGATTCACAAAGACGCCTTTTGACGTAATGACAAATCACTATCGGGATGGGTGACCTCCTTGGAAAGTGCATGCATATACGCTAAATGACAAAACCGCGAGACTCAGTATGAAAATGGCTAAAGCAAACAATACCCCAAGTAAGTTAATTCAGGAATATCACAATATCATATCAGAGCGGGACCTCCTCTAGTAGGTGTGTGGTTCGAGGACGAACTATACAGAAGCTGGTGGGCCCACAATGACCCGGTCAGAAGAAGGCGGAGAGTGATCGCGAGGTGATAGGGTTTGGACAAGGAGCGACTTCTGACAGACTTCTAGGATGGTGAAGGGGACAGAAATGAACAAAATTGTGAACCAAACAGGGAGAGAGCATGCTTGGAATATATATGAGAAAACTAGAATTATCCTTTTGATATAACCTAAGTAGCACCGACATGCGACACGACACGACACGACACGCGACACGTCATTTCTCAAAAAATAGAGAATTCCGACACGTTAAGATACGTTATATATTAAATATATATTTTTATATATACATGATAAATTATCATTTTTAAATTTGATTCAAATAAGTAAATAAATAATAATAAAAAGCCTAGAATGAATTTACCCTAAAAAAATTATGCACATAAATTTTCAAAAAATAATTATGTATAAGTAAATATGTTAGTTAAAAAATTAAAAGCAAATAATCAAATTTGAAAAAAAAAAAAGGAAAGTACAAGATAAAAAAAAAAAAAAAACAGCCCATTGAAAGCCCAGCCCACTTTCGACCCTAATAACATCTTCTCTATCCCATCACCTCCTCCTCTCTGCCGCTTCTCCTCCGCACGACCCGCAGCTCCTCCCACCTCTTCCTTCTCCTCCGTCACCGGCGAAGCGCGAGGCAAAGGAGATTATGGCGTGAAGGGCGTCGTCCTTGGCGCCAGAGAAGCGGGTGGCGAAGGAGATGACGGCGTGGAGGGCGTTGTCCTCGGCGCCGGATCTGCACCTTCTTCCTCATCTCTCGACTGCACCTTCTTTTTCATCTCTCTCAACAACGAAGGGACACGTGTGTCGCCGGCGTGTCCGGCACGTTGACCGCGTGTCGGATCTCCGACACGCAGTCAACGCGTGTCCGAGTGTGTCGGAGCGTGTCGGACACGCGACACGTGTCCGACACCGACTCGGACGCCTCCCCAGCATGTCGGTGCTACTTAGGATATAACGGCAAGCTTTGTTTTGGAACTCCAAAATTTAGCGTGCTCATGTTAGAGCACTACCTGGATGAATGACCTCTAGGAAAGTTCCTGTCAAAGTACAAAACCGTAAGATTTGGTATGAGACGGATCAAAGCGAACAGTACCTTGAGCGAGTTAGGGGGCGTTTGGCAACTTGCCAAATAGTAAAAATTTCTGTTCTTTTGTTTCCAGAATCAGTTTCGGAACAGAAATTCGTTTGTTAAAATTTTTGTGCCCAGGCACAAATTTGCAAAAAAATGTTCCCAGAATCAGTTTTGGAACAGAATCAAGAAGCAAAAAAAAGTAACTTCTTGATTCTGGAACAATTTTTTCATTTCTGATTCTTCTTGATTTTTTTCTTTCTTTTTTATTTGTTCTTCATCTTCTTCCTGGCCCGCCGCCGGCAACCGGCCACCGGCGCCCGGCCACCGACCAGGGCCGGTGAGGGTGGCCCTCGCCGCCCCGGCGACAGTGAGGTCGGCCTTGCCCAAATCTGGCGAGGTCGGCCTCGCCAGATCTGGGCGAGGTCGAGCCTCGCCTGGCCAAGGCGAGGCCGACCTCGCCGTCGCGGGGGGTGGCGACGGCGAGGTCGGCCTCGCCATGGCCGGGCGAGGCTCGACCTCGCCGTGATCTGGCGAGGCCGACCTCGCCATCGCCGGGGGTGGCGACGGCAAGGTCGACCTTGCCTTGGCCAGGTGAGGCTTGACCTCGCCGTCGCCGAGGGTGGCGACAGTGAGGTCGGCCTCGCCCGGCCATGGCGAGGCCGGCGGCGAGGGCCGCGACGTCCTCGCCGGCCATGGCCAAGGAAGGGAAGGAAAAAAAGAAAAAAATATTAAAAAATTCAAAATATTATTAATAAAAAGAAATTTTGTGTAGTTACCAAACTCATTTCTATTCTTTTTCTATTCTAAGAATAGAAATTTTGGACAGTTACCAAACGCCTTCAAATGCTTAGAAATTGTTCCCGGGCACGGAATAAAAAAGAATCATTTCTGAACAGAATCTATTTTCGGGCACAGAATGGTTGCCATACGCAGCCTTAATCCAGAATCATCACATTTACTTTCTAAAGGAACCAAAATCTTGAAATGTTTTTTTTTTCCTTTTGTGTAAATATTTATAAAAAAAAAATTCAACTTTATTTACATGCATAAGTGTGTTTTATTTGCCTAGTTGTTTGATTATACGTTATCATTTTCTTTCTAAATCATAATAATGCTTCACAAGGGGTGATGGGTTGGGTTTAACCAAACATCGTACTTCGGAAGCCCCTACTTATTTATCCCCACGGGTGGGTGGCAAAATGGATTTAGAACCCATATTTTTACCCATATTTAATGATGTGGGTCATAAATAAGTTTAGTATTTCGGGTTTAGGGTTTAGAGTTTTCGAGTTTGGTTTTGGGTTTTTGGGATTTAAGGCTAGGGTTTTAGGGATTCAGTTTTTGGGGTTTTGGGTTTTAGGGTTTTGGGTTTAGATTTCGGATTTTGGGTTTAGGATTTGGGTATTGAGGTGGGATTTGGGGTTTTGGGATTTTGGGGTTTAACATAGGAATGTCTTGTGAGAGAGAGCTAATATTGTTTCTCTTTTTGTTCCCTGGAACAAAAGAGTAGATTTTTTTTTACTTCTTATTTCTGTTCCAATTCCATTTCCTGACGTTACTAAATGGACTTCTGTTCTTTTTCTATTTCGGTGAACAAAAGAAAAGAAAAATAGAAAAAATAGAAACATTACCAAACGAACCCTCATTCTCTCAACTAAACCATTCAATTTGCCCGATGGTAAATTGGTCACCTATTTTTCACAAATCACAAGTTCAAGTCACATCATGAACGAACCTTTGAATGGCTCATGCTGTGTTGCTTGGCCCTGACATACCTCGTGTGATGAGACTTCTTGACCGTTAAAGTCTTGGCTGCAGTGACATACTCACCAACTGTGAACCTTCGAACTATGGGTGATTGAGAGTAGGTATGGCTCAAGTAGAGGAATATGGAAGCCTTATGGTATCATCAGAATGGATTGTCAGCAAGTCGCCCCTCCCGCTCTATTGCTAATAAAAAAAGGGACAAATGCACCACAAGTCCTAAAACTTATAACAAAAGTGCATTTGAGTCCTAAAACTTGCAAAAAGTTCATTTGAGTCCTAAAGTTAACACCGTTAGATTTACTAACGGAAAACGCTGACGTGTCATTTTTAATTATTTTTCTTGAGACACGTGGTGCCACGTCAG